TGCTCAGGAGCAAGTGTCTTTCCCACGATTAGATTGCAGCATCTTAAAGTCTGCACTGGAAGTCTTTCTCTGCCATTGCTCCTTTTAGCAAGAGCACCCTATTGAAACAGGAACAGTAAAGATTCACAATTAGAGTAGTAATACTCTATAACTGGATTTGAATATAATAACAACAATGTGGGGTCTGCTGTGATGGAATCAGTAACTCACTCTTTTGTGAAATAACAGTTACCTTGTAATCAGGTGCTTAAATGCATCGCAGCTGGCTGCCGTTTGGAGTAGACTTCAAATGCCTTGAGGTGTGCTCTAATAGAGACAGAACTGTGCTTGACAGGAAGGTGGGAGTGCTTCCTAAGCTAGTATTAAGCAGCTCTCTTTCTTTGTGGAGGAGCTCCAGCAATGCATGGCCAAATTCAACTGATTTCTCAGCGCTGTTGCGCTACGTGAAACAAGTTAGTGTGAAAACTGCTCAGGGAAAGCAGCTTGGCAAGGTAGCGTGGCCGAGCGGTCTAAGGCGCTGGATTAAGGCTCCAGTCTCTTCGGGGGCGTGGGTTCGAATCCCACCGCTGCCAAGCAGTCCTTTTAGGATGCTTGAGAATGACCTCTCTGCTTGAGCAAACATACTTGTAAAGTAATACAGCATGCTTTCACTCACATCCAAACGTAGACTCCTTGGCCAAAGTTGAAGGGCTTCACTAGGAAGCTTGGCGTCCTCTCTGCTTCCGTAAAATTGGGCAGAAAAGGGACCACTGCATGGAGTCATCTGGGATAGCGTAGCCAAGGGATCTAAGGCGCTGGATTTAGGCTCCAGTCTCTTTGTGGGTGTGGGTTCAAATCCCATCCGCTGCCAGGCAGTCCTTTTAGGATGCTTGAGAATGACCTCTCTGCTTGAGCAAACAGACTTGCAAAGTGATACTGCACGCTTCAGCTCGCATCCAAATGCAGACTTCTTGGCCAAAGTTTAAGGGCTTCACTAGGAAGCTCTGCGTCTTCTCTGTTGTTCTGCTTCCGTAAAATTGGGCAGAAAAGGGACCACTACAAAGATACATCTAGGGTAGCGTGGCCGAGGGGTCTAAGGCGCTGGATATAGGCTCCAGTCTCTTCGGGGGCATGGGTTCGAATCCCACCGCTGCCAGATGTGATTTTAAACACGGACAAACTGCTTGAGTGCGTGCGTGTTCTCAGTGACTGCTGGAAATGAGAGAGTACATTTAAGTTGGCAACTATTCAGTATAATGTGTTCTTTGAAACTCACGGCAGACTCGTTGGTGTGACAGCAACACATCCCCAAGCTCGAATCTGCTCAGGAGCAAGTGTCTTTCCCACGATTAGATTGCAGCATCTTAAAGTCTGCACTGGAAGTCTCTCTCTGCCATTGCTCCTTTTAGCAAGAGCACCCTATTGAAACAGGAACAGTAAAGATTCATAATTAGAGTAGTAATACTCTATAACTGGATTTGAATATAATAACAACAATGTGGGGTCTGCTGTGATGGAATCAGTAACTCACTCTTTTGTGAAATAACAGTTACCTTGTAATCAGGTGCTTAAATGCATCGCAGCTGGCTGCCGTTTGGAGTAGACTTCAAATGCCTTGAGGTGTGCTCTAATAGAGACAGAACTGTGCTTGACAGGAAGGTGGGAGTGCTTCCTAAGCTAGTATTAAGCAGCTCTCTTTCTTTGTGGAGGAGCTCCAGCAATGCATGGCCAAATTCAACTGATTTCCCAGCGCTGTTGCGCTACGTGAAACAAGTTGGTGTGAAAACTGCTCAGCGAAAGCAGCTTGGCAAGGTAGCGTGGCCGAGCGGTCTAAGGCGCTGGATTAAGGCTCCAGTCTCTTCGGGGGCGTGGGTTCGAATCCCACCGCTGCCAGGCAGTCCTTTTAGGATGCTTGAGAATGACCTCTCTGCTTGAGCAAACATACTTGTAAAGTAATACTGCATGCTTTCACTCACATCCAAACGTAGACTCCTTGGCCAAAGTTGAAGGGCTTCACTAGGAAGCTCGGCGTCCTCTCTGCTTCCGTAAAATTGGGCAGAAAAGGGACCACTGCATGGAGTCATCTGGGATAGCGTAGCCAAGGGATCTAAGGCGCTGGATTTAGGCCCCAGTCTCTTTGTGGGTGTGGGTTCAAATCCCATCCACTGCCAGGCAGTACTTTAAGGATGCTTGAGAATGACCTCGCTGCTTGAGCAAACAGACTTGCAAAGTGATACTGCACGCTTCAGCTCGCATCCAAATGTAGACTTCTTGGCCAAAGTTTAAGGGCTTCACTAGGAAGCTCTGCGTCTTCTCTGCTGTTCTGCTTCCGTAAAATTGGGCAGAAAAGGGACCACTGCAAGGATATATCTAGGGTAGGGTGGCCGAGGGGTCTAAGGCGCTGGATTTAGGCTCCAGTCTCTTCGGGGGCGTGGGTTCGAATCCCACCGCTGCCAGATGTGATTTTAAACACGGACAAACTGCTTGAGTGCGTGCGTGTTCTCAGTGACCGCTGGAAATGAGAGAGTACATTTAAGTTGGCAACTATTCAGTATAATGTGTTCTTTGAAACTCACGGCAGACTCATTGGTGTGACAGCAACACATCCCCAAGCTCGAATCTGCTCAGGAGCAAGTGTCTTTTCCACGATTAGATTGCAGCATCTTAACAAAGTCTGCACTGGAAGTCTCTCTCTGCCATTGCTCCTTTTAGCAAGCGCACCCTATTGAAACAGGAACAGTAAAGATTCACAATTAGAGTAGTAATACTCTATAACTGGATTTGAATATAATAACAACAATGTGGGGTCTGCTGTGATGGAATCAGTAACTCACTCTTTTGTGAAATAACAGTTACTGAAATTCAACTGATTTCCCAGTGCTATTGCGCTTCTTGAAACAAGTTGGTCCAAAAACTGCTCAGGGAAAGCAGCTTGGCAAGGTAGTGTGGCCGAGCGGTCTAAGGCGCTAGATTAAGGCTTCAGTCTCTTTGGGGGCGTGGGTTCGAATCCCACCGCTGCCGGGCAGTCCTTTTAGGATGCTTGAGAATGACCTCTCTGCTTGAGCAAACAGACTTGCAAAGTGATACTGCACGCTTCTGCTCGTAGTGGTCTAAGGCGCTGGATTTAGGCTCCTGTCTCTTCGGGGGTGTGGGTTCGAATCCCACCGCTGCCAGAAAAGTTTTTAAATATGGCCAAACTGCTTGAGTGTGTGTGTGAGTCTCAGTGAACGCTGGAAATAAGAAAGTACATTTAAGTTGGCAACTAGTCAGTATAATGTGTTCTTTGAAACTCACGGCAGACTCGTTGGTGTGACAGCAACACATCCCCAAGCTCGAATCTGCTCAGGAGCAAGTGTCTTTCCCACGATTAGATTGCAGCATCTTAACAAAGTCTGCACTGGAAGTCTCTCTCTGCCATTGCTCCTTTTAGCAAGAGCACCCTATTGAAACAGGAACAGTAAAGATTCACAATTAGAGTAGTAATACTCTATAACTGGATTTGAATATAATAACAACAACATGTGGGGTCTGCTGTGATGGAATCAGTAACTCACTCTTTTGTGAAATAACAGTTACCTTGTAATCAGGTGCTTAAATGCATCGCAGCTGGCTGCTGTTTGGAGTAGACTTCAAATGCCTTGAGGTGTGCTCTAATAGAGACAGAACTGTGCTTGACAGGAAGGTGGGAGTGCTTCCTAAGCTGGTATTAAGCAGCTCTCTTTCTTTGTTGAGGAGCTCCAGCAATGCATGGCCAAATTCAACTGATTTCCCAGTGCTGTTGCGCTACTTGAAACAAGTTGGTGCAAAAACTGCTCAGGGAAAGCAGCTTGGCAAGGTAGCGTGGCCGAGTGGTCTAAGGCGCTAGATTAAGACATCAGTCTCTTTGGGGGCGTGGGTTCGAATCCCACCGCTGCCAGGCAGTCCTTTTAGGATGCTTGAGAATGACCTTTCTGCTTGAGCAAACAGACTTGCAAAGTGATACTGCACGCTTCTGCTCGTAGTGGTCTAAGGCGCTGGATTTAGGCTCCTGTCTCTTCGGGGGTGTGGGTTCCAATCCTACAGCTGCCAGAAAAGGTTTTAAATATGGCCAAACTGCTTGAGTGTGTGTGTGAGTCTCAGTGAACGCTGGAAATAAGAAAGTACATTTAAGTTGGCAACTAGTCAGTATAATGTGTTCTTTGAAACTCACGGCAGACTTGTTGGTGTGACAGCAACACATCCCCAAGCTCGAATCTGCTCAGGAGCAAGTGTCTTTCCCACGATTAGATTGCAGCATCTTAACAAAGTCTGCACTGGAAGTCTCTCTCTGCCATTGCTCCTTTTAGCAAGAGCACCCTGTTGAAACAGGAACAGTAAAGATTCACAATTACAGTTGTAATACAGTGGGGAATAAACCAGAGTCAAGAGATGTGTTGATTATGTGAGTCAGTGTTGGTATGACTTTCTGACACAGAAATGAAAATAGCCTCACCATTTACTTTCCATTGTTTGGTTTTAAACCTTGATGAGTTTCTTGATTCTGTTGAAGACAAATTACGATATTGTGATAAAAATGCTAGCTTACTTTGTGTTCCAGAAGACAGGAAATGTTTAAAACCACATGATGGAGAGTAAATGGTAAGCTCATTTTAATATTTAGGGTAAACATCCATTTCATGCTTGCCAGTTTGCCTTTATACTAAAGTTCACTTTTTTGTTCTTTTTTGAAGACCTGATGGTGCTGAAAGAAGAGACACATCAATGGAGTGAAATAGAAGAGAAACAACAAGAAATAATGAGTGATGAAAAACCCACACTCACTAAAAAGACTTCATCACACAGAAAACCTCGGAAATCCAAGTCTAGGTGTAATTTCAGCTGTAAACAGAGTAGAAAGAGTTTCAGTCAAAAGCCAAACCTTGACCACACTAGGGAGAAACCTTACACCTGCAAACAGTGTGAAAAAAAGCTTCTATAATACAGGAAACTTAAAAGTGCACATGAGAATTCACACTGGAGAGAGGCTGTACGCATGCTAACAGTGCGGAAAAAGCTTCTATTCTACAGGAAACTTGGCAGTGCACAGAAGAATTCACACTGGAGAGAGGCTCTACTCTTGCCCTCAGTGTGGAAAAAGTTGTAAGCAAAATGGCAACCTTGAAGTCCACATGAAAACTCACACTGGAGAGAGAAGCTTTATTTGTACACAGTGTGGGAAAGGTTTTTCTCAAAAACAAAACCTTACCATCCACATGAGGATTCACACTGGAGAGAAACCTTACACATGCACAGAGTGTGGTAAGGTAAAAGGTTCCCACATAAAGGCTCACTCAAACACCACATGATAACTCACACCGAACAGAAGCCGTTTGCATGTGCTCAGTGTGGAAGGAGCTTCACAACCAAAGCTAGAATCATGAATCACACGAATGGTCATACTGGAACCACAGTGTTTACATGTGATCATTGTGGAAAGAGTCTCTCATGCAAAGACTCCATTAAGCAACACATGAAGATTCACTCAGGCGAGCGTTTTCGATGCAGTGAGAGTGGAAAGGTCTTCAAACATAAAAGATGTCTCGTCAATCACATAAAGCTTTACAATGGAGAGAAAAAATGAGGCCTTGTCCAGCAGAGCTTAAGGCTTTCCTGGGATAGCATGGGATAGCATCTCGGGACAAGTGTGAACTCCTGAATATATCTCAAGTTACTGGAATGAAACCCTTTGAACCTGAAGATTTAAACTCAATAACTGAAGAGGGGTGAAGATGTGCCAGGTTGTGAGAGTTTCCACAGGGCTGCAAGAAAGCAAAATAACTCTATATGTGTTTCAAGTTATTATGAACTGAAAACCAAATTTGTGCACATTGCACACTGCAATCAAATGGTCGGCACTGAAAAGAGAATTAGAAAGATTAGGGAGGAGAAAATGTTTGGGGATATACAGGGTAAACTGTCCTACACCCTTAGATTGTGTTTTTGATTATTCACATTGTTTGATTTTCACTCCCTTGAACAAACACCGATTTGCCTCCAATTTTGGGCTTTTGTCTGCAGTTTCACAAAACATGTTGGTGAATGAAAGTCCACCTAAACTCGGCCGGTGTGAACTTGCAATGACAGTGAGAGACTGATGCAGACTCCATAAAGCCCTGTTCAGACTACACAATGCCATTTGCCAGTTACCACAGATCAGATTTTTGTCAGATTATGAGATTTTGACTTGATAAACTCTTGATGTGTTGTGGGTACAAATGGAGACTTTGGTTTCAAAACACTACACTTTTATTTTGATGGACATATTTTAGAAAATAAACAAGTTTTCTTCATGAAGACAATTAAACTTTCTATGGACAACTAGTTTCCCTTAAAGAAATGTTCATGTGAAAACTCCCACATTACTACAAATAAATCAGTGTATGGGAAACCCAGTGTTGCTATTGTGAATGAGAACATGAGTGATTTGTTAGCTTACATGCTAATTCCAGTACTCATTAGACTACTGAAGGACTTCAGCTATCTGTAAATTCCAAATATTATTTATATGCATTACATATTGTACTACTCATGTGCACTGATAGATTATATTGTGTGCTGTCTGCAAGTGGTGTGTGTGTGTAGGTTATAGTTTTAGGTTTATTGTGTTAAAGGTAAATTATTTTAAGAGTAACAAGTTATTTAATTATTAACATTCTGATTGTTCCTGTATATATATATATATATATATATATATATATTAGGGATGCACCGATATGTATAGGCCGATATTTATAAATATTTCAAAATGATATATTTTTATACAGCAAACTTCATAAAAGATTGAACTTCTTTTATGAACTAAATAGTCCATACTCAAAGCAAAAAAGCTTTAACTTCAAAATTGCAAGGTGATTATAGACCTATATTCAAGATTTCACATAAATCAGCATGCAAAAAATACATTACTTCCTTTTCTTCATAGCAAATTAACATGCAACTTGGCTGTTGCATAAAATTAAGAAGGTTAAATAACAAAATATGATTTATTCAACAAGCAAATTAAATATATTTAAATAAGATGACAATGAAAGCATTAAGGACTGAAACCAGCTCAAATGTTCTTGAATAAAACGTGTTACAGTGATGTACACATGTACAAATACGTCATGTACGAAAAAGTCTTTTTTAGAGGTGTTTTGACAGTTCAGAGCCACCGTACAAGTAAATAGCTTACAGATAGTACGTTTAGAAAATGCGGCACAGATTCATGCTATTTGGCGTTTTAGATTCTTTCGAACATGTAGCTGCTGCTTGTCAATCAGATGCATCTGCGCTCGTTCTTGCTGTCAATTGCGGGGGGGAAAATGATCGATGAAAAGTTTATGATAAACCGCTGAGTTTTACTCAACTGTAGAGGAAGAGTTGCCATCAGAGTCAGATTTTCATACAAAACCTGCAATGAGCTGACTTTATGGCTAACAGAGCTGAATATAAAGACAGAATGAGCCGCTGGTCGAGAGCCTCTATGACTGGATTCACCTCTCCCCCGTGCTACAGTGTGTGTGTGTGCGCGGTGACAGCTCGCGCGCTCGTCATAATCAATATGAATATTTCGATCAAACTGAATACATCTTACATCAACAACACATGACAAGCAACGTGTTGATAATAACAAATAATCAGATTACAAACAACTGTTTACACTTGTTGTAAAATGTGCGGGTCCAGTTGCAGTTTGGTGTGTGTGTGTGTGAAGCGCAGAGGGAGAGGGAGAGAGAGAGGAGCGGTTTTTGGGCAATGAGACTATTTTAGGTGACTGATTTGTTGTACCACACGAAAAGTAATAAATATTTTGGACCAAGTTACATGTGTCCTCGTTCATTCACCGGCTGCAACTAAAAGAGAAGGCAATTCACCACGAAACTAATATTATTCGGCCCTGGAGTAATAAGTTAAGATCCCCTGCTATCTCTACACAACAAAGAGACAGAGCTGGAAAGGTTTACATAGTTAATATTTTTCCTGAGGCGATTTAAAGCAAAATACACAATGACACTCAATCAAACACATCTACAATGATAAGGAACATGGTTACTTACTGACTTATTAACGCACAGCAATACCACTTGAAGAAATGACAGACTTTGAAGGAATAAACAGTGTGAAGAGAGATCCATTATAGTGCAGTGGGCAAGTCTGAACAAGTTCCGCCCACGCGTGCGCAGCGCGCAAGTCTGTACAATTACGTAATTTATCGGCTTAAAGATATCAGCCGAATTTAGACATCGAATCGATAACGATAGTCCTAAAAATAGCATTTATCGGCCGATACCGATATGGCCGCCAATATATCGTGCATCCCTAATATATATATATATATATATATATATATACTATTACTAACCAGCAATGATAGGTGAGCAAAATAAAAATTGAAAGAGGATACTTTTATTAGGCCTTTCATGAGTCTAATAATCTCAAAGTCACACTTAAAAAGAAGGTCCAAAAACCTGCATTTATAAATGAAGAATGTTTTGCAAAGCATAAAAGGTTGTTAACCAGGTAATGCTGTGTACAATTTGTTTTAGTTACACCAAATTTAACTTGTTTATTGTAAAAAGGGTTTAAATGGATATTGACATGAGACATTCTGTATTATGCATTACGTATTATGAGTCATGAGTAGGGCCAGAAAGAATCTGTCAACGTTTTTTGCTATTTCTGCGAAGAATATTGATAAAAATCTGTGGATTTCTGCCAAAATATTTTGGGAGTATTATAACTAAAACCTAAATATGTAAAACAAAAAATATTATCTTTTAAACTTTTATTTAATGTTTAAAATGCAGATCCAATTAGATACACTTTATTTGATAAACAAAGCAAGTCACTCATATAATATTTCAACTAAAAGACTAAAAATATTACTGTAAAAACTGCATTGTACATAAATCAGATAAACATTTTCATATTAGTCAATAATATTACTGTATTTAATTTAAAAAGTGAATAAATATATATTTACACAAGTAAATAAAATAGAATTAATGATGTGCGCGACATTATGTGTTATGAGTCATGTACATGAGTATATGCAATTGTATAAACATGCTCAGTGTTTTCAATAACTTTCACAAAATTGACAAGTTCTCCTCAGTATCAACTTTTAATCTCAAGAATTCTTTTGATGGAGACACATCATTAATCATTTTAACTGAAGTTCTTTAATTTTGGGGAGAATTAAAAAAGAAATGTAACTTTCTTATTTTTCTATTTCCTGTGAATTAAATTATTTTAAAATAAACGAGGTCTGAGCTGATTATGACCACGGGTATGCTCAGTCTAGAAAGACTAGGACCTCCATGCAAAAATGAATGGCCTATCATCCGGCCAGCCATAAAATCTGTAATAGCCCAAAAGCAAAAGAGACATAAAACATCAAATCACATCTGTAAAATTCTAAACAAATGTTTTCTCTGTATGCACTGTAATGGTACCAGTCAGCATCGATCTGCATTGCCCACCATTAAATAGAAAGATAATGTTATGAATATTTTACATCTTATTAGGTGTGCAAAAGGCTTCTCAAGTACAGTGCACGAAATCATACAGAAAAAGGTCAGGGTTACAGGCAGTGTTGACGAAAATTAACTTTATATATATATATATATATATATATATATATATATATATATATATATATGTGTGTGTGTGCGTGTGTGTGTGTGTGTGTGTGTGTGTGTGTGTGTGTGCACATGTAACCGAACTGCAACCAATTACAAACCCAAATTTAAAGTGAAGCCAGTCTTTAGTTTTTGCATCATCATTGACAAAATATGGCGGTTAACTCCCTTGCCAACAGCTGCATCTCCTGAAAAAAAAACCCAAAATGAAGCAAGTTCGTTGCACAAACTGTACAGACTATAAGCGATTCAAATGATTTTAATAATAAAAAAAGGAGTACCAGTCAATCTATATTTCAATGGAGTGGACCAATTAGCACTGTTCATTTTATAAAATGAAACCAGGGTACTATCTTGTTCATCCATAGTATCAAACTGGTTGATGAGTAATGATAGAGATGGACAGTGTGAATTGATGGAGAGCAACTCATCACAGAACATTCGAGATGATTTGAATGGGTCAATTTCATTTTTCCA